CAAACAAAAGTAAACTATTTTAGCAAACAACCTGACAGGATGAAACAAACTTATTTCCTTACCTATAGACATGGAGTTAAAAGCTGCTACAATCTGAGGACTGGCTAAGGCCTCCAGTCGGTTTTTCAGCGCCTCGAGGTGGACACACTTCTCAGAATAATCCGGCGTGTCCACCAGCATGGCCAGGCTGTTCTGCATRCTCGTCAGCTTGGAAGAAATCACCGCGAGGTCCTGCGTAAACAAAATTAAAATATATATATATATATTCAGGACTCTCTTTAGTTTACAGTCGCTAACAACAAATAAAATAAACACAACGAGAGAAGACGTGTGGCAGTTTGTTCCACCTCTAACCTGTGTTTTGAAGGTCTCCTCGATGTCTGCGCTCAGCGTGCTCCACTTGTCTGCCTCCTGCAGAGCCTCAACAGCCTGCTGCATCCGACTCTTCACTTGATCTATTTCCACCAGGACCTGGAGAGCATTTACACATTCAGTCCCCGCCCCCAACTACTTATTATAKAAAAGTGTTTTTTGCTCACACACCTGCATGGACTGAACTGTGTCCTGCTCAAACTTCTTGATGTCCTCCTTCACCAGGACCATCTGCTCCTTTAAGAAGGAMGCCTCCTGCTTCAGAGCCTCCACGTCCCGCAGCACTCGGGGCATATTTTGGAGGGCTTGGTTACTGGTTTCTACACACAGACACAAAGGTTCAGCCTTTAAAATACACAATAAAAGGATGTTACAGCTGGAACCAGTAGGATTGCCTCTGCAACARAAAAAGGACTGATTTATTTTTGTGTATTTGCTTTGGGTGCACATGGGTGTTCTTAACTGCAATTTTGTTCTACATTGCATCCYTGATGTYATGTTTGAATGCCAATAAAGAGGATCTCTAATCTCTTTGGCCTAGCCAGTCCATACAGATATCTGTGTGTGTTTAATAAAAAATATGGAAATCCTAATAAGGAACACAGATGCTATTTTCTAACCATGTCTTGTATTATTGTGGGAAATATTTTCCAGAAGACTGTAAATCAAAATTACTGCAGTTTAGAAAAGTTAATATAATATATAAGCTATAAACGTTTAACTTTTTTATTCTATTTTGAGAGCTCTGGTGAAACTAGTACAGAGAGGACAAGTTAAAAGAGAATTTGATTTGCATAAACAGGATTTCTATTATGTATGTATGTATGCATGCATGCATGCATGCATGCATGCATGCATGCATGCATGCAT